GTCTGAACCCAATCAGCAGTTTGGCTACTATTCTTCCCACTAAGTGCAAGTTAAGACATGAGCAGGAAACCTATTTTGTGCATTCCAATGAGATACCAGGAGAATTTGCATGAACTATGAGTATTTGATGAGCCAGTGACAGCTAGTAGATACCCTCTCATGAGATGGAAACACTATACTGGTTAGAAATGCTCTTAATCATGATATAATCCCTTAAATCATGACACTGATATTATGGAATTTGGAAACACTGCACATCTGGGTAGGACTCAATGCCTCTGTGTGTTTATTATTAGGACCTTTAAAATTTAAATAAATGTTCATGTTTCTCTGTGTAGCCATTAGACCCAAAAAGCAACATTAAAGTTCAGATATATTAAGGGGAGTTTGGAGGCCACACAAAGGCTCCTTAACAGTCACCCTTTCCCAGTGATCTTTTGCAACCACACAGGCTTGCTGAGAATGCAATTTCAGTGGATATGTACAAAGTTTGGCAAAACAATTGCATGATTACTTCAGCATGTCTGCACCACTGGTCCAGCTATTAAAATCATCCTACGTTTACTATTTTACAGAGTTGCCAAATGTGGGTTGAATGCACAATCACAGGCTATAGTGAATGACCAATAATCACAAGTTAATCACAATAATCACTGCAAGTGGCCATATGGCAAAGCAAACACATGACAACTATACAGTTTGCCTAGTTCTCTATAGCATGCTCCAAATATGTCAGTTTGGTCATGTGAACTGCTTCTAATACCACCACAGAAGCACAATGTTGGCACTAGCTTACTTGAAGAGGAAACCCTTCAAAAAAGAATTCTTGCTTGATAAGGTAACTTCCAGAAATGACTTTATAGCTTTTGCTAGGAAATGTTTAGTCATAAGCAAATGATGATTGCTCATCTATTACAAATTACAGTAGAAAGCCATGATATGGCACTGTCTCTTGTTTCCTTGCTAATAATATACTGCTTTCAAATGTGAAAAGTGATAGAATACTTAGAGATATTAAAAGGAGTTGAGGCTTTTGTGTCTGTAGACACCTCCCTCTGTGCCCACAATGCAACCTGCTGATAAACTGTCATTTATTTATTTTTAATTTAGTTTTAAAAACCTGGATGACCAGGAGTATTTCAAAATGAAGCTCTGGCCTCCACCTTCCCACTATACAGATTATCCTAAATGCCTGCAGGAAGTCAGATAGCATGCACCTGGAGGGCTTCATCCTCCAAACCACTCCAAAAGGGAACAGGCAAATGTCATTCCCACTCCTTGAATGACAGTGGTGTAACTGAAAGAGGACTGGGAATATTCTTGCAGGGAAGAGGGAAAATAGTAGAGACACAGGACTAAGTCAAGGCTGGGAGGAGAAAGCAAGCAGAGCGAGGTTAAGAAATTATTCTGAAAGATCTGAACCAAGATAGTCCATGCATGTTCTGAACCAGTGCCTAGATAAAGTTACGGCTAATAAACAGAAACTGAATCCCAATAAGCCAAAGACCCTAAAGGTTGGCAGTTCCAAGTTCTGGAACTGGGCAGTTTGCCCGTTCTGGGTGGGTCTACACTGCCTCTGAGGAAGCACATAGGTAGTCCGCTGGTGATTCTGGATCCATCTATGTCACCAGAGGCACAGGTGACCTCAATGGTGCAGAGTGCCCATTAACAGCTTTGGTTGGTATGCCAGCTACACCCATCCCTGACCAGAAATAATCTACACACTGGTAACCTCACAATTAAACTACTGTAATGCCCTTTATACAATGCACCCTTGGGCCTGGTTCAGAAGCTGCAGCTTGTGCAGAAGGCAGCAGCTGCTGTGCTCACTGAGAAAACCAACTATGTTCACATCAGACTTGTGTTACAAGAACTGTCCTGGCTGCCTATTAGCTATCAAACTATGTTCAAGGTTAGGCTATTGTCATGCAAAACCCTAAAAAACTTAGGACTAAGATACCTAGGAGATTATCTCCCCTTATATATTTTCAACTAACCATTGAGATAACAGGATTGCTGGTTATTCCAGCAAGGATGCTGCTGTGTTTACCTCAACAGCTTACCATCTCCACAATAGCATCCATGCTGTAGAAAAAAAACTCTCTCATGCAGTTTGGGACAGAGAAAACTGGGCATTCTTTAAGCACCTCCTGAAAAATGCACGTTTTCTCAGGCTTTCTCTGGCCTATAATCAAATTAACCATCCCTTGCCTTTCACTGCTCCTGTATTGCTCTATATTGTGTATTATTTTTATAACTGTATATAGTTTTTTAAACTGTATTTTAATTGTGATTCTACTATTTAAATAGAAACCACTTATGGGTTTTTCTTTAGTAGTACAGAAATAATATACATAGATTAATTAAATAACTATGGGGGGGGGGGGAGACCTGACAAGGTTTATGGAGGCATGTGAGGAGACCCAATAGGAGAGAAAAATAGGAAAGAGTGTTTGTGTTAAGGGAAAAGAGAGAAAGACTGCATGCATGTGTGGATATGTTCAAGTGATGCTGAAAAAAATGAGTGAATGCATCTTGTGCACAAGGAATGCGGATGAAAGAGAGGAGAGGGAGAGGCTTTGGGGTTTCTGAAATCTGATTCTGAATGGGAGAAGAAACTATGGGTTCAAATGAGTGTGCTTGTGTTTGGAGGCTAAGTCTACACCTCTGCTATACATTCAGATTCTCGGACCAGTTAGTTGTCTTTTAGCCTCAACTGTTTGCCTTTCTGTGCAATCACTGTTTTGCAATTGCATCGCGAACAGTGGCAACCACTTTGTGAAAGTGCTTATGGCATTTATAAAAATCCAAATGTGTCTACAGACTGAAACAAGTGAGAATCCCCACCCTCTTCTTTAGGCACTTCCCCTTTTCATTATTTTCAAATTGCAAGGAGGCTGCCAACCTATCAAACTGCACTAGTTGCTAATGAAACAAGTAGGCTCTCACATGGAGCTCTTCACTCTTGTAGTTCCACGCTCACACAGAGTTCTCTTGGGAGTCTCAGCTGATGAACCACATACGTCGTTTATAAATCAGCTTTTCCCGTGTATTGTCTGTCTAAGAGAATTTGTCAGGAATAAAATGTGATCAATGTCTGGTTGCCACAGCAACACCTCACTCACCAAAAATCAGTCCCACATATTGTGGGCAAAATAAAGTCTTGGGTGTGGAAGCAAGAGCATCTCTGTTAGGGGAAAAAATGTTCAGTTTCCAATTCCACTCCAGAAACCTCCTCAGAGTTATGGACAGTAGTTAAGGGGGCAGAATGCCTTAAAGAAGGACAAAGGAGAAAATACAGCATAAAATCCTGGACTAGGATTAAACTGCAGAGTTTTATACTTTGCACGCTACCAGATGTACTGACTATGCATGGATTTGATAGATGACTCATACCTGTAAGATGGATGACCTATTCATATAAACTGATAAAGCTGGACATAACAGCAATGTTACGTATGCATGATATTCCAATGCCAAGAATTCAATTCAGCTTACCGCTATGCCAACCAGTCCATTCATATGCATACATACACTGTCAAACCACACTATGAGACATGCTGTAGTTTCCCAAAACAATAAACAATTTTTGGCAACTCCTACAGAGTGATTAAATGCCCAAGGGTTGGCCTTCCTTGTGGGTATACATCTTCCTATGCTTTTTGGACAACCATAGAAACAAGCCACCTTGTTTAAAAACAAACCTGAGGTGCATATTTGAAAAGTGCAAATAGAAGTGCATCCTACAGTGGCACCTCTTAGCTTAAACTCATCCATAACCTCAGAGATGTCTGCCATTCCCTGGAGGCAAGGCAAGTTAAGCATAGCAACAGACATCTGCTCAGGCAAACATGAAGGCAGCAGAGTCAGGTGCCTCATCAGATGGGCATTTCTCACATATCCAGATGTGGAATTCTCTGCACAAGAGGTGAAATCTCCACCCCACTACAGAAGTACACATCCAATTATGTAACATTAGACACACACACACAGAGGGTGCCACCCCTTCTGCTTCTGTAGTTTTATGGAATCTAATTCGTAATCCTTGTGAAGTTGTGCAATGTTATTTAGATACAGGCCTTTCGCTGCACCATGCTCAGCAAGTGTACACATGCCGAATAACTGCAGCCAATCCTGGATTCCGAGGACACAGACGCACAGAAAAACAGCCCACGTGTGAGACTGCCGCCCATTAGGATTTACACCCAAATGGAACACTAATTCCTACACAAAAGCGTTCTCTGTGTAGAAATTCGGTAACGTGCGAAGTTGCTCCAAAGGCGGTCGCCAGTCCTCGTTTATTTCAGAAAAGTCACACAGCCATTATAGTAGTCGGGGGCAGACGTCAGAGCTCCTTTTTCTGTTTACGTTTTCAGGTGGCAGAAGAAGCCGCCTCCGCCTCCCCGTTTTCATATGTATGCAGGCAGGCCGGCCAGATGGAAGCGCTTCCCCTGAACGAGCTGGCCATGGCACCCTTGGAGCCGGATCGCCGTCTGCCTCCAAGGGAAGTCCCCCAAAGCAAAGCCGGCGCCGCAGGCAGCTGGCCAGTCCAGTTCGGCTGGCGAGACTCCGAAGAGGCTTAAGCCCGAACCGCGAGCCCTGCGGGCAAGCTCCGCCAAGCGCTCTGCCTTGCCTCGCCTTCCTCCTCCCGTGGCGGCCGCGAGTTAGGCCGGGTCCCGCACTCACCATGTAGAGCGTGAAGGGGAAGCCGAGCAGGAAGAGCCACAGGTAGAGGTGCAGCGCGTTGACACCGGCGCCCTGGTGCGGGTCCTGGTACCAGCCGCCGCTCAGAGCCGCCCACACGCCCTGGCGCAGGATCTGCAGCACCTGGGAGCCCATGACGGCCGCCCGAGCCCAGGTCCTGCCAGCCCGGAGCCGCGCTCGCTGCTCTATCCGCCCCGCGAGCGCGGGCACAACTGCCCGCTGCCTCTACAGCCCGAGCCTCGCGACAGCCACAGGAGCCGCCAACCCCTCCTCCGCCTTCTTCTCCTCCTCCCCCCCGCCAACGCCGCCGCCATCTTACGTCCGGGCCCCGGGCCGCCCGTCCGCCTGCCCGCCTGCCTATGGACCGGCAGCCCTTGCGGCAGCCTCTTGGACCGCATTCCCCATGCCGAGTTCTCCTCCCACCCGGAGGAGGCGAAGGACGGCGGTGGTGGCCGCACAGCTCGACATCTCGGCCTAGGCAGGCGGCGCGTGTCTTCTCACGCCCGCCCCCAAGCGAAGGAAGGCATGGCTGGGGAGCCCAGAGCAGCGAGCGGGGATCCCGTGGGCGGCGGCGCGGCGCGCTGCCCTGCCCTGCCCTGCCCTGCCAGGAGCAAGGGCGGAGGCCCGAGGACCGGCGTGTTGCCCCCACCCCTCAAGCGTCGTGTCGGCAAGGCCAGCTGCCCCCACCGGCGCTCGCCCACGCCTCCTCTCGCCTCTGGGCTGGCAACTAGGCGGCCTCGTGGGGTTTGTTTATCCCACGGAAGGTGTTTCTGTGAACGGGAGCGCGCGCGCCACGTAACACCCGTCGAAAGAGCGTTGCGGACTGAAAGGGGCTTGAGAAGGAAGCGGCACGACGCTTTGGGCTGCGGCCGAAGTCCCAGTGCTGTTCATTTCAGTGGGCCTGCTGCCCCTCGGCTGAACCTCGGAAACCACCCGGTATTCTTTCCGTTTTGCCCGTATCGATAGTCCCCTTGCTTGCACTTGCCGCGTTTGCTTCTCTGGCTCGCCCATTTTGATAGAAAGGGGGCTTTATGAGCAAAACGAGGAATACAGAGGCTGGACTTCGCTGGGCTTGTGCTTAAAGCTACTTCGTGGGTGGCAACCACTTTGGCCACCAAGGCCTCTTGTGTCCGTGGTGGGGCGCTCTGTGCTCCTGATCGTCTTGCACGTCCATTAAGAACAGAACCTGCACATTTACAACCCCCTTGCAATGTGAAGTATAAAATTGTACAATTGCAGTAAGCTGTTTCAGTTGAGGGGTGACACAAAAGTTTGAACTGAAGTTGGCTCCTGTTTCAATAATACATAACATATATCTCACACGGCTCTTGTTTTTTCCCTCTCCCCCCACCTGCAAGAGCTGCTGGGGTTCCCTGTTCACCCTGTGGAAAGAAAGAAGGCATGGAGGTGCGGACTTGCTAGCTTTTGATTTTAGGAGGCAGGAATGCAAGTCTGTGCGCACAGAGGCTGCTCTGACATCATGCCTGCCTCCTGCCTCCACTTCTGGGATTGCCTGCTCATGCAAAAATGCAGGAAAGCGTCCCCATCACCATGGAGACGGAACTGGCTTCTAACTGCGGCACTGAGAGGGGATGCTCATCCCCCATCCTGCTGGCAGTGGACAAGCAACAGCCACAGATTGCCCAAGCAGGCAAGTTCTGACTCCTGATCTGCATGTCGAGCCCTCACTCCCTCACTGAGTTGCAAGTGTGGGGGCAACTCACTGTGCCTGGTAGCTTCCAGTCTTACGCATACACAAACACACCCATTTTGTGACAAGATTATATACATATATATTCCACCACTTTTGTGAAGTATAATATGATCCATGGCCACAATGCTATGGTACAGGTGAAATGTAATATATATAATTGCTTGTTGCAAACAGGATTACTAAGTATAATTGTAAGCATTGGGTAGAGTTTCTCTGAGGTAAGGACCCCATATTCACAACTGTAGCTGACCATTGGCCCTTGGCATTCGTTAGGATTAGGGGCATATGATCCCCATGAAAGTGGAGAAACCACAAATATCTCTAGAGAAAAAATGCAAATATCTCTAGAGAACTATGCACTCTGTTTGGGGATGCCATACTTTCTCTTAGTAATAGCCTCACTCATGGGTTGTATTTCCCAGTAGATGTATAGACCTCTAGAGATATTCTCAGTTTTTCCACCTTTGCACTCCTAGCCCCTACAAAAATAGTGTTTGTTACATTCCCCAGAAAATTTCGATCGTCCTGTTTGTTCCATTATACAACCACACGGTGGCACTGCAATATAATGCAACTGAAGAAACTGCAAAGCCATTTTGTAGGCTTTCTAGCACAAAAGGAAATAATAGCTGGCATTCCTCAGACAAAAAAAGGACACCAAAAGGGCTGGAAAGCGGAAAGCCCTGAAGGATGATGCCATTATGTAAAGGGTTCACAAATTTCCTTAAGAAATCACAAGTACACAGTAAATGCCTTGTTTAGAGAAGCCCTATTTCACCCCATGCACTTCAACTAAACTAAAAAAGTTAAAGGAGGGGCACTGGTACAGCAGTGGTAGTGATTTTTGTGTAACAGAGGGCCATCAAGGATTCCCTATTTCCCCAGCCCGCTGGGCAAAATCCCACCCAGCACTTCCCTGGCCTTCAATCCATGGATCAGACTCTGGATTCAGCACACGACAACCCAAGCTTGGGGAACAAAAAAGTTTATTAAAAGGATAAAACAGAGGGATGAAGGACACTAAAACGTGCAGGAATAAAAGGAATAAAATAAGGAGAGGGCAGGGGTGTTAGAAAGCAGCAATAGTACAATTCTCAGCCAGACAAGCACCCCACATCCCAGGGCCTTGTTGGCCCACTCAGACAAGAAAACAAAACTAACCCTAGCCTCAGCTAAACACAGGAGCTCTGCTCCAGCAAAGGCGGGATGCACAGGGCTTCTCTGCATTCTTCAACCCAGGCAACAGGCAGCAGCATGGACCCCCCAGGGAAGAACAAAGAGCCTCTCTTCCCTTGCCTTTATCCCCCACCCCACTACCACAGGACAGCTGACCAGTGGCGTGATGGCCCCCATCTCCCAGTCCCTTGGGTCAACCATCTGCTCCAGGTGTCATTCATTAGCCAGTCAGTGCTGTTATCTCCAGCAACCTTCAGGCCATAATTTTTGATAGCTCCCCAAAATGTATCATAAAGGGAAGAGGACCTTGGGCACCAGATTTCTGCTGAGCTGGCACCAGGATTTATAACATATAACCATCACACCACTAGCCCTTTCCTGGCTTCCTGTGAATCAGAGGGCTGATTCACTTTACAGTTTGCATTTTTATAACAATGCCAAGTGTTCAAAGTTCTCCATATGTATTGTTATAATTCCTACAGCAATAAAAGCCAGTATCTCAAGTGGTATAGTGATATACTTGAAATGCAAGCACTCATCATGACAATCCCTACAGTCATCCCCACAAGGAAATCCCAAAAATTCAGGAAACTGCTGGTCATAGCAAACCTAGCAATGTTCTTCTCCCTCAGGAGCTTGTAAAGCGAGTTAATTACCATTGCAACACTAGGTTTCCACAAACTTTGCCATTTAAGAGGAAATAATTTCTTGTTCTTGAAAACATTAATTTCCCCTCTGATACTGTGAGGGTTGATTCCCAGGGGGAATTGGGCATTCTGGAGGGAGTGCTGGATGTCATCATCCTCGCAAATAGAAAAGGTGATGTGCTGCACTTCTGGCTCTTCTGCAGTACAACTGGAGAGCTGAGGCTCAAAGAGAGTAGTTTGCCTAAGGGCAACATGATACATTTTAGAGGTGACATTCAGACAGGTAATTTCCTGATTCATAGCTGAGCTTCTTTGTCACAGCAAATAGCTATTACTGTTAAGTAGATTATAATTTCTCTGAAAGATATAAAGAACAGTGGTGAAGCTACATTTGCTATGAGGGTTTCCCCCCCTTAGAAGAGGAATTGATGAAGATAATACTTCTGCTTGAGGAAATGAAAACTGATGTAGACAATACCTCATTAATGCAAAGATGAAGGGAGGATGTGGAACTCTGTGGAAACAGCATGCAGATCTAGCAGGCCAAAACCCAGCTTGGGTGAGAAGGAAGAGAATGAACTGCAAGACTTAGAACTGCATGCAGCTAGGCCTGCAGGAGGGCAAAGGATTAGTTCTTTATTCAGCTACCTGTAAACTGTTTTCTTCCCTCTCTGTACCATCACATGATTTAGCTTTCTTTGTATTAATTGAGACCCCACAAAGACTGCTAGAGCCAATTAATGAAAACTCGTGCTGGCTCTTCCACTAAGAACAATAGCCGAAAATGAATTCTGGAAGGGTACTGGAAATGCCATGCTGTATACAGACTCCTTGAAAATACATGTTAAGAAGAGACAAATTGGCCAATGGGTGAAACTGTGTCTACCTGACATGTAACATTTATATAGGAAATGCTGTGAAGGATGTTATCCAGCAAGTAACATTTTTCTCATGTTTATTTCCAGCCTTCTTTTCGTGGGGAGTCAATTGCCCAGTTGTGGTCCCCCTTTTAGAAAACCTGGATACCAATATTGATATGTTGAAGCCCTTGCAGGTCTTTCTTTGGAAGCAAATATTGGAGCAGAAACCAAATTTTTCATCTTGCTTACCTTCTAGACTAGACCCCAGGAAATGTTTCTGAGACTTCTTGAATTGTTAAACGCAAGGTCTTGGGAGACAGTGCAACCACTGAGGGTTCTGTTTATTCTTAACATGCAGGCTGCATGTTATATCTCATTCAAAGACCTTCTCTATAGAAACCATCAGAGCCCTGTCATGTCCCCATCTTTTTCAGTACACATTAACTATCAGTGGAAATACGCAGCTTAGCTCCCTTATTTTACCTATTAGGACAGAGGGGCAGGGTAGTGGGAAGAAAAGGACATTATCCAGTTGCAAAGGTCATTATTGTTTTAACAGATTTTTTTTTAAATGACCTGTAGTTTGGATCAAAATTCCTTCCATGTTTAATAATGATTAGATCTTCTGTAAATGTTTTATGAATTTATTTGAACTTTGTAGACAATGGTATTGCACAATATTGTGTAATAGTGGAAGGAAGTAGCAATGAATTGAAACTACTCCTGGTGAAAGTGAAGAAGAAAGTGCAAAAGCAGAACTGCAGCTGAACCTTAACAGAACAAAAATGATCACAGAATTACTCAACTTTCAATTCAGCAGTGAGGAAATGCTAATTCTGAAAGATTTTGCATGTGTGGGCTTAAGCATCAGTTCACATGGAGACTGCAGCGAAGAAATTAGAAGAAGACTAAGAACTGGAAGAACAGCAATAGAGGAAAAAGCATCAAATGTGTTTCACTGAAGGCCAAGGCCAAGATCACAGTATTGTATTTTCAATCACTCTGTATTGGTGTGTTGTTGTTGTCGTTTGTTCTGTTTATATCCTGCCTTTTTTCCTTTCAAGAAACTCTAGGCAGCATA